GTATCTCATCAGGTAGAACGAGAAGTCAATATAAGAAATTATATGCTCGCACCACTAAGTACAAAAATTCTACAATACCGTATTTAGCCCGTATTTTATGTGATGAAGACTCTGTTAGACGTGAAACATATAAGTTACTATGTAATTAGCATAGTGAATCGACCCTTTCATTGTTCATCTTTCTGTAATTCTATGGTGTCACCCTTTCTATCGTTTAATTATAACTTTGCTATTTTTATTTTAGTTGTTATTACTATTATTACTATAATTTTATACTTTATGCGTATTTTTCTCCTTATCGTATACTGTAATTGCTACATAGCTGCTATAAAAACGTTTTGTTATCATTATTATGTATTAATTATTTCGTTTATTTATTTTTTGTTGTTGTCTTTTTTGAGTAAATTAGATGCAATATTGTACTGAATGCTGAAAATTCCTTGCTGTATCACTAATACTGTTTTTGGAATAAAGCAAAAATTATTATTATTATCCCCTTCGAATCTGAATCCAGGATCACAAATTATCTGTGAAAAGACATGATTTAAATTCTTTCATATCAATACATATAGATAATTATGGACACCAATTTGATTGGGATAATGTCGAAATTTTAAATAGAGGAAACACCGAAAGTGCAGTTAGGGAATTCCTAGAAGCCTGGGACTCAAGTGAATCAGCCAGCAATCAAAAAACATAGTAATATAGACCAAATCTACCAACTAATAAAAAGTAAATCAGGTGACGAGAAAGTTCAAAATCCAAATCAACAGAAATGAACACTACAGATGTAAATCGACTACCAGTCACGAAGATGGTAGCCAGGAGACGCAATTCTATCACTCATGGAAAATTTAAATCAGTTAACATTATGCTGAAAATTGCGCTGAAGATGTTGCCCAGAAGGACGACGAAAGCTCCGCAATTAAACCAACCAGCTCAGAGAATGCAACTAATTCTAAAACAATAACAACTAGTATTTATCTCCACTAATGGAAGAAATTTGAAGGAGATCACGCTTTTCACCTATCTAGGCAGCATCATTTCAACTACAAGCGAGAAGCACAGATGAGGCTGCTAAAGTCAGCCATGATCGGAAAAGCAAGACAGGTGTTCATTATTTTGAAACTATTATGGAAATCTATTGTCCACAGCATAAGAAAGAAGATCCGAATTTATAACATTAATGACAAGTCAGTTCTTCTATATGCTTCAAAGGCTTGACACATAGGTCACGAAAGCCTTTTCAACAGGCGGTTGACGACTTTTACCAATATCTGTCGCATTTTCTCTGTACTGAAGATCAGACAGCTGTCCAGAAAGGATCAGCTACAAGGAAGTCTGATAAGGAAACAACCAGGAATCTATACAGAAGGAAATGAATATGAATTGGACAAATGCTGAGAATTCATGAATAATTCCCATTCAGACATTAATAAAGAGAAAACACGTAGTTCAGAGAAGAGTCACTTTTCGGCGGCTAATTCATTCACTTAGCTTTACAGTCGCAATTATATGTACCTATTTTTGTATGTACTTTTGTACATTAGGTTTGTCTGATAACAATAAAAATAATCCAGGGTGATTGTTGTCAAGACATTTCAAAAATCTGATGAATAATAAGACTGTGACTAGGGGAGGGCGGTAAAGATTGGTAAAAGGGTAGTGGTGATGTTCGTTGGAGGATTTCATCATGGGCTGACAACGGTTAAAGAAACGTTAGAAAATCTATCTGGGAGTACTGGACAGCCAGCTGTTACGTCAGCCTAGTTTGGGACTCTTCATCAGTACGCACCCCTGACAGGGTTCGAACCCAAAACCTTCTGGCTACAAAGTGAGCTCGTAGACCATGAAGCCACTGGGACCAATTCAATGGCCAGTCCATGAATTCCAACTTCTGCCAATTCACAACATTGCACGACCACCTCTTCTCCGACGAATAACTGTCCTCACCTTTGATCTTCTGCACCCTACTGGTGATGCGTTGTCAAAAAACATGGTTCGGAAAAGGTCAAATAAAATCAACAAGAAGTTCTATTTTGGCTCATTTGATTGATAGCGGTCACCAAGTGGACAAAAATAGTGCTTTCAAAGTTATCTAAGGCATTCCATCGAGTCTTTCGAATGGAATCAGAACCCGTCTTTTACACCTAGCCGAAGCTATGGGAATTCGAGAGAACAATCCTAGTCTTTGCATACAAAAGAAGTTTGTTCTACCTTTGTCTCTCCCTTGGCCTAGGTGAATTCTATTCAAAACCCTCCCACCCTTTCTTATTTTCCATCTCCTTCGTACTTTCATAATATTTATTTAAACTCTGATTATCGTTCCACTTCACCTTTTAAGATTTGACCCAATTTATTTATACACTTATATACATATACTATCTTTGTTAATCTTATCACCTACATAAACCTTATTATCAATATTTTGTTATCATTATAATCATCGTTATTAACTTCTTTCAAAACATTTACCACATTATTATTATTATTTGATTCCCAAAATCACCGTCATTGGTTAAAAAACATAGTTATTAACGTTAATCCATACATCAGAGTAGTTGAATTAGCGTAATACAGTTACGTAATCAGATGAATAGTATAATGAGTGAGCTGTGATTAGGATACACGTAGAAGCAAAGTAAAATATAGAATTATCTAAGAGTTCTAAAAATTACAAATATTTTCTAATTCGTCATAACATTGTACAGCTAAGTGAATGAATTCGCCGCTGAAAAGAGACTGTTCGCTGAACTACGTGTTTATTATATTCATAAATGCTAAGGAGACCACTAGGTAACATCAGTCACCAAGCTTTCGACTGGAGCTCTTATAGAAGAAGGCAAGTTGTACATCCGAGAATGACATGCAGAAGATCGTGTGAGAAGGAAATAGAAATGTATAGGCACTCATGCAGCCAGCTAGATAGAAGCTCAAAGAAGAGAGTCAACTAAACGCGTGCCAGTAAAAAAGCTCTATCTTCCACAAACAGTACTTTGGTGACATTGAAATAATTTAATAAACACTACCAGAATTTAGGTAATACTTTAATTGGACACTAGTAACTAGTACGACGTGTCTAGTCCTTTCGATGGTGCAGACTGAATTCTATCAGTCAGGTTTGCTATGTGGACACCATTCTAGGTAGCTCGCCATCACGGTGCACATTGATTTGATGATATTAGATGGTGGAAGGCAATCGGTAGAAAGCCCAGCCTTGCCCCGACCTAGGTTTCGTGCTAGTTGGCACTCACTAGTCAGCAAGGCGTATCCGCAACCAACTTAAAGGAACTCATATCCCTTCTCAGGTTCGAACCCGCGTCACCCAGTGAATACTGTAGTCAATGACGTTACCATTGAGCTAGTTGGGCTCACGATTGACCTCCTGTAGGACTGTATTGGATACTTTGATTGGACACTAGAAAGGATTCGACATTTTGCGAGCCCAAATAGCTCAGTGGTAGCGTCTCTGACTGCAGTAATCACTGGGTGACGTGGGTTTGAACCTCAGATCGGACATTAGTTCCTTCAAGTTGGTTGCAGATACGCCTTGCTGACTAGTGAGTGCCAACTAGAACGAAACCTAGGTCAGGCAAGTCTGGGCTTCCTACTGGCTACATCCAATCATCTAATGCAGTTTGGGTAAACGTCATACCATACTTATAATACTGAAAAGCTGTAATTTGTCTAGGATGTTCAATTTCATCATTTTCGTATTATACACATGACAGACTTTCAAAATATTTTCCAAATACTTTCCATGATACTTCGCATTTTCTTCTCTCTTCAAATTCTAGAATAAAACAAAAACTGCGCATATTACTCAATCTATCAATTATTATATATGACAATTAAAGATGATTAATCTAATGTACGTGTCTTTATGTGTGTGGGGTTGGTCTAATGTGTTTATGTGTAAAGACAATTTAAGTCACTTGTTTTACCTTGTCCCAATTTTCAGACGTTAAAACACACACACACTCATACACGTACATACATCCATCCGCTGTCTGTCTCTAATTCATTCATTCATTCTAATTTTCGCACTTGACTTAAGTCTCATCAGTCTATTTACACAGTAATTGATAGGCTGAAAAGAATGTTGTCTTTCTCTTTTTTTGGCAATTTACATTCTTGTCTGATATATATTTGAAGTAGTTCATTTGCATTTTAATAGGTTCATCCCAAAAAGTAGTTAAACATCAATATCTAGTCAGTCATGTGTACTATTCCACTTGTAATTACGTAAAAACAAATCAAAAGAATAGCAAACTATTACTACTACTATTACTAGTACTACTACTACTAATAGGACTATTTTCAAGCTTTCAAAATATTATCGATAACTTTTTTTTGTCTACTTTCATTCTATTGGTGTATTTTGTTGAAGTTAGTTTCAACGAGCAAAAATAAAATTGGATAAGCAGATTTGCTAAAAATTATCACAAATATATGTATAAGAATGGAATTAGATGAATTCTGCTTAACAGTATAACATTCCATTTTCCATACATACCATTAATTCGCGCGCGCTTTATCACAACGTTTTGTCTACTTCAATGCCATCATTATTCAATGTTCAATATACGAATGTTATTTACAATTTATTGTAAACATGATATGATATGATGTGAATATATTGTGAATAGAATTGATGCAAATAATAATAATAGTACATACAATTAAACAAAACAATAATGAATAATGATATTCTTCTTGTATGTTTGACAGAAAGATACAAGGTGAATAGAAGGCTTTACATTTGATCAATGTTTCAGTTGTCACTATTTTTTTGTTGTTGTTATCGTTATTGTTACAAAATGATTGAACAATTGAACCATAAATGTTCATGTACACATACAAATTCTATGAATAGAATAAACAGATTTTCAATGAAATATTGTCAGGATGAACACATGAATGAGAGTTAACAATCCTATTTCGACAAAGTATTCAATCGTGAATACCGTAACTGTTGTGTGTTCGTTGTGTATGTGTCACTTTTGCAATAATAATGACAATAAAACGGGTATAAATTGCATTTATGAACGAAGTTATACGCATTATTTGACTCAGATCACTAGAATTACTCCATCACTAGTGAAGAAAATGTTTGTCTTTGAAATGCCAAGAGTGGTACTCATACCAAAACCATCACTAGCAATTATAAATCGATTCATTCAATTCTTTATATTCACATATTTCGTAATATATGTTATGTGGTTAAAGAAGGGTTATCAGTCGTTCGATCGTCCAATCAGTGGTGTTGCAGTCAAAGTGAATGGTGTTGCCTGGAAACATATATTCAAGCATCAGAATCATGATGCGAATGGAATAATTGTGCTGGACAGTGGAGATTATCTCCTTCAGCCTACACAGAATTCTGGATTTTATCTAATAACAACAATTAAACACTTCGTTGTACAACGTATGACAACGTGCAGTGAAGGTGATCGGCTACCTGATGCACAATGTCTAGAAGATCAACACTGTCCAGCCGGATATCAAGCTGGATTCCAAGCATTCGGTCATGATGGTGTCGTACCAGATGAGAACTCGATTGCAATCGATGAGAGTGGACATGGAATATTCACAGGGAAATGTTTGAAGGATCATGGGAAATGTGAAATATTCGGATGGTGTCCAACCGGTGATGACTATGAATATGAATTGAGGAAAGAACGTAATGCGAGGATGAGATTGATTCGACCACCAAATATTGTAGAAGGATATTATAATTTTTTCACAGATTTACGATTTTTAGAAGTAAAAAATCGATTTAATGATCTTACACCACATTCCGTTGATCCTCTATATGAAGTTGTCAATTTCACAATGTTCATTAAAAACAGCATAGAATTTCCTGCATTCAATACGAAACGACAAAATGTTTTATCCTGGATGACAGATGATTATCTACAAGAGTGTTTGTACAACCCTGAACATGGAGTCGATCGATACTGTCCCATCTTCCGTCTCGGTGATGTATTCAAATTCGCTGGGACGAACACCAATCGTTTGTTGAAATATGGTGGAGTGATCGCCATCACAATCAGTTGGGAGTGTGATTTGGACTGGTCTCCTGAATACTGTTTACCGAAGTATGAATTTCTTGAATTGGAGAGTGTTCACAAGGTGCGTAAACTTCGAGTGAATAATTCCACTTATAGTCATCAAGGTGGTTATATGAAGTGGTCACCGTCACAGTTAAAGGATACATCAACATCATCAACAACAACAACAGACAATTCAGATGCAACATTTGATTACACATATGCGGCACACACACCGAAGGATGAAGATGATATAATAGGTGATGAAGAGGTTGTTACAGTTCATGAAGGCTCAGCTGTGCGTGTAACGTCATACTTCGGTTATGATACAGAGAATGTGAAAAAGAGGAGACGCATTCTAGCTCATGTCAATGGGATACAATTCATTATCCGTGTCACTGGGATTGCTGGGAAATTTAATTTACTTTCATTCACAATGAAACTTGGTTCTGGTCTTGGATTGTTGGGTATATCTAAAATACTCACTGATATGATCCTATATCGGTTTACACGCGATCGTAAACGCTATAAACAGATTGCTTGTGACAGCAAGACAGTGAAGCGTTTATTAGCTATAGCTGCACAAACTAGCCTGCCTGAATCACGTCGTACACGACTAATGCATGCAATTTCTGATTCACAAGCAACCAGTCGGAATGATATTCAAGGCGATAAGGTGATTCGATTGAACAGATAAAGAAAGTAATCAACTAAAACCTTTTTTAATAAATCAATGGCAGCAGTGAGTCCTCAAAATATATGTGCATTAATCAAAACTAGTGATACTCACAATTGTAAACTTCTTTTCATTTCAACCCCTACCGCTGTGGGGTTTCATTAACTCCTATGTCCTTAAATCTCTGCGCTTTTCACATTTTTGTAATGCTGTTATGACTGTGGATGGTATCACTGTTCCTGTTAAAACAGAATCACTGAATGAATCTGCTGGATGCCTACTGTACCAAAACGATGCAAGTTCGCACACATACATTGTGTCATTCATGTTTAGAATGATATACTGACTATATTCATCATTGTCTTCAGAAGCTTCAATGAATTCTGAAAACATCGTTAGATGACTTACAGAAGTAGTGTGAAAGATGAATTCACATCTGCATATATCTTAATTATCTACTGTGATTTATATCTCACCATCTGTGTGCGTATTCATTTTTTTATCATGCCATCATATCACTACTGTAATCTGAAATGCCCCAAACTGCTATACATGCATCTTTCCTAGTCAGATTATGTCTCAGCGTAAGTCTGTGAGTGTGTTTGTGTGTATATATAAAGCACATTCACTAAAACTAACGGGAGATGTTCGTCAACCAGGATGTTCAGCTACTTACTGTCACTGTTTATATAAGTGTAAGTTGAATATCTTAGTACCATTTATAACTGAGTATTGTCTTTATCAGTTGACTTGTATAATCCATAATGTTTTATTGATGTATACATCTTGAATACATATGTTGTGTAAAACTGTTGCCTTCTAAATTTATTCATACTGTCACTTACTACTGAGCTTCACTCTATTTATCTATTTGTCAATAAGGTGATCCTAAACAAAACTGCTTTTATATTAGTTTGTTTATTAGATATATCACACAGTGAAACAGTATTAGTATTTACTGGATGGCACAGTTTCGAACAAAATTTATTGTTCATAATCATGGAATCAATTATAATCACAAGACTTCAACACTTGAGTTTGATAGTTTTCTGTTTTCTCCTATTTGTCGTCGTTGGGGTAGTAGAATTTTCCAGATATCGGGGACAGGTGGTGAATCATTCCTATTACATGTATTTGAAGTTGATTCGATAAACAAAGCTTCTGTTATCAATCTCTCCCTATACCCTGTGACATTAGATTTTAAAACTGTCATCCTATCCCATCCTATTGTATGGTTGTGTGTAACTGCATGTAGTGAGTGCTATAGCTGAACTATTGTCTAGATTTCTTATCTTATTCGGATCAACCAATCTATATTTCGCTAAGTTTTTATGTTCAGCTAGTCTGACTGCCCTGTTCTACTATTTTGACCTATGTATTTGACTTGACAATCATTGCAGGGTATGAGATAAACTATAGGGAAAGATTGATAACAGAAGCTTTGTTTATCGAATCAACTACAAATACATGTAATAGGAATGATTCATTACCTGTCCCCGATATCTGGAAACTTCTACTACCCCAACGACGACAAATAGGAGAAAACACAGAAAACTATAAAACTCAAGTGTCAAAGTCGTGTGATTACAATTGATATGATTATGAACAATAAATTTTGTTCGAAACTGTGTCATCCAGTAAATACTAATACTTTTTCACTGTGTGATATATCTAATAAACAAACTAAAGTGGAATTACTTACTACCACAGTGCCCAAGTTTTACACATATATTAACACTGCTTTTAACTTTTTATTAATAAACGCAAATTAGATTAACGAGCGAGTACTTGTCGAGTGCTTTGCACAAAAGTTTGTAAATAATCATGTACGTAATCAAGTAATCACTGTTCACCTGTTGACTGGACACATTTATGTCGTTAACGCCGCTTGCCGAGTATCTTAACTCAAAAATCGATTTGTGTTGAATCCTTTTAGAATCTTCGACTGCAGCACTGACCTCCACGGAAATCCAAAAAACCCCGCTTTAACACCTACATTTAAAATATTACAATATTTCTGTTCACTTCTCTCTCTCTCAGTTATTCGAGTAAACAGCCAGACATTTTTCTGTCATTCCAGTGCATTTTTGAGTGTGGATTACCATGAATATCGGTGCAAAGTGTCTCATTTATCAACGAGTGTATTCTTGCTGGGTGAAGTAACAGCCGGTTACTTCGTCATTGCATAAAAATGTAGAAATTCAATCTACAAAATGTAGGTTGTAGTGGGGGTGTACTGCCGATGATTCCCAAACTAGGATGAAACAGCTGTCCAGTACTCCCAGCTGGTTTGGGTCCCAGTGGCTGATTGATATAAGAGCTTGCCTTGTAACCGCAAGGTCCTGAGTTCGAACCCTGGCAGTGGGTTCGTACTTCCGATGATTTCCAAACTAGGATGAAACAGCTGTCCAGTACTCCCAGCTAGGCTGCAGTTCTCACCATTGCTGTAATTACATATGTCACTGATAGCATAGCCTACAGAGAATGCTTGATTTCTTTATTTGCAGGCACCCACCCACCCACTGTTTACTGAGTTTTTTTAACGCCTTCATTAGATGATAAACGTTCAGTTATATTCGGTTGTCAGTAGATAAGATTTTCCTAAGAATGAGATAAACGAATAAAATGCCTCAGTAATTTCATACTATTTTTAAACATTTTGCTTTTGACAGCATCAGTTTTTATTACGCATCATTCTTCAGCTTTAATTTCCCTCTGACATTGTTACAACTCATCAACATCACATTTATTTTCTATATGAGAAAAATCTATGCAATTTGAAGTGCGTTGGGATTATTTCCATTTTTTTTACAAACCATTATCCTCTCTCTTTTAGTCTATATGGAGTGGAATTTTCTCAGGGAAATTTCAATAAAACCCAGTTTTCGTCCTCACAATTTTCTTGTCGTAGTAGTAGTTAGTAGTAGTACTTAATTTGGTAAATTTGAGCAAATGAATAAATTACCTGTGAAATGTCATGATTATCAAACTTGACTGAGTAATCACGAAAGCACGCATATTTACATTGTACTGTAACAACAGAAGGCGAGATCCCGAAGCCAAGGTATTATTTCATTAATCGGCCAAGTTAAACTTTAAGCACCACTAACTACCAAACAGCGAATGACCTTGAATGTCCCAGTGAGCTTCATCCACGTGAGTTGTCACTTCTATTCCGCTTGATTTGAGTTTAATGTCAGGAGAGGTAAGCTGATGATTCTAATATTTTGTAGGAACATTTTTTGTCAGGTCCCACTTGTCCTTAACCTAAATTTTGTATTTTTGTAGTTACTGGGTTTTAAAACAGCCTGTAACAGGCGTAGCTGCTGAAACAGAGGAAATAGTCTCCTATCAGCAGTTCAATGGTACCAGCACTGAAGAGATATCGCGTCATGGAAAATGGAGGGGATTCCTTCGTTATTAGGAGGAGGAGAAGGTGCCATCGTACACGTGGATGAGTGGAGAGGTTATAACTACCCTGTTGTCCCTTAGATATATTCACCACAAAGTCAACCATTCTAATTATTTTGTCGATCCCATTACAGAGACATACATCAGCTCTATACAAGGCTTTTGGGAAGGTGAAAAGGAGGACTAGGGCCATTAGTGGATCTCAAAAGTATGTCATTTATAGTCATTTAGATGAATGTATATGTATAGAATGTGGTTTAACTTTCCAAATGATACTCCTATGCTCAGCTAGGAGATATTTTTACAACATGTCGGAGAAACGTATCCTATGAAGCATTTTTATGCAGCTCTTATGCATATTTTTTTCTCATAAATATATGTTTTCCGTAACCAAAAATGTCGCCTTCTTGTGATTGGTGAGTTCAAGGTCATTCGCTGATTAGCAGTTAGTGGTGCTTAAAGTTTAACCTTGCCCATTAATCAAACCGCTGTTTATATTTCAACAGTTAATATTCGTTAACCAATCACTGAGAGTGTGATTTCGGTTTACATCAAGCAACATGAAATAGAATGTTCAAATATACATAGTATTCTGTTGAGAATGCAGTATTGGACTGTGGGAATATGTAAGAATTATATTCCATTGGCGCACATAGTCTGTATCACACCATCACAGTACTATATACTACTGATTGAGTGGGATGAGTAGTTGTATATCAGCCATATTAAGCAGCAGTGGTGGCTAGTTAGAAATCTTGTGGTTAGAGCTCATTCGATGTATGATGAGCTCGGCTCCAAATGAATGGGGCTACCTGGTGGTGTTTAGACCACCGTGATCTGGCCAGCAGGCATCACTGGTTCATATGAGTGGTGTACAATCACTTATCTAAGTCAATCAGCAGTATACCGTTTCATGTAAATACCCTTGCTTTCTTGATTACCAATTAAGCTATCAGGTAGATCATATGGTTTGACGGGAATAAGTCGGTTTCGACAGGAAACTGGTGAAAATTTCATCCCTTGAACTGTGTGTATTGTAAATTGTGAATTTGATTTCAAGATAACTGAGCTTGATGATAGTTTATTCAACTTGAAAGTCTATTTGGTGTCCTCTGTCTCTAATGTATTTCACTTCAATCACAAGGTAAAGGAGTGTGTTGTCCGGGGTTCGATCCCCAGCAGACGCATTCCTTTACCTTGCTAAGTCAGTAATAAGACTGGTAAAGAGGGAAGGTTGGGCGTGAGGCTAGCAGCAACCCTATCCCGTAAAAATAAATACCACTACTAGCGAAACTTCAAGCCTCTAGCTTGAAGCCCTATGTTTCACTGGGAACGTAAAGGGATTAAAAGAAAACAGAAGAATCTTATGCTTAACTGACTGTTTACCCTGCAAATCGGATAAATTCATTCAATCTTAGTAATCGAATTATATCTGGCCTGACAGTATGTGAATGTCTGTTAAATTGTTATTTGAATACTACTCAACATTAGGTAAAGAGTGTTAAATGTATTCAACTGAATTCATTTCTATTTTATTCTTTCTTAACTCAGAATTTATCGAAAGTTTGCCTAAGAGAATCATACAGTTGATTTCCAATCATTTTAGCTTA